TGAAGCAAACCTGGCGGCTTCATAGCTGCATCCATGTTAGCACCTCACGTTTGATGTGGTAATTTCACAGTAGGCATACACACAGGTTCTATGACTCATTCTCGCCCCCTACAATGCAATTCGGCTAGGTATACATCTGCGCTAAAATATCAAGGTGAAAGTCATCATAGCTTGCGTAGTAGGCCTACATCTGCAGCCTGTTTTCCTGCTCTACTGTGAAGACCCTGTTATTTGGCTGTGAGCATCCTGGTGGCATCCTGAATGAAACACCTGTTTCAATCGTCCCTAGAGTGACTCTTGACGTTTAAACTTCACTAGCTTCTAAACTGTAAAACTTTGACATTTAAAACTTCAGGATGTGTTAAAGTACTAACTAATCTTTTATGTGATCACGACCATGGCGCAAAAAATTGCTTGAGTGAATTTACTTTCTGTGATTGAAAACAGCTTCTTTCATATAACTCTGTGAAAGTGTGACGCAGCACGTTAACGCCGATAACGGCCCGCCACTAACATATATGCACACACTCACACGCAGTATAGGCTTATTTATATTGAATTAACTTAGAAGAATAGAAGTAGTAGTTTTATAACAAAATGTATCCATATACACTTACAATAAGTGTGCCACCAAGTTTTGTGCTGTGATCCTCAAAATGAAATATTCAGTGTAGAAACAGCATCATATCTGTGGCTTTATGCTGATCAACCTGCTGGATATATACAAATATCAAATTTACTTTCACAAATGATTCAAAAAATTGTCTGTTGAATGAAAGTTTCACATAAGGCCAATGTAACTGGCTGAGCTTGAGAGATAAATCAGAATAAGCTGGGAAGAAACTTGCTGAGAAAATTCTGAGGAAGTCAGATAGTATCTTAAAAGAAACTGGTTTAAGTACATTACAAAAAGACCACTAGAGATGGAACAGATACACCTGCATGTAGCTGACCAATAACCAGTATGAGAAGAGAGGTTCACAAGGAAAGAACAACAGCAGTGAGAACTGATACTCATGTTAAATACCTTGTTATTTTCGTCTAAAGGAGCTGATGGATTAGTGAATAAAAAGCAAAATGATAGTGAATGTAGATGCGTTGAATTCTAAAGAGACAAATGTTCTAATTAAAGGGAGATTGTTCCAAGAAAAACATAATCAACAAAAAGAATAGAATAAAAGAGACAAGTCATGACAAGACTTGAATAGAGGTAAATAAAACTGAAATGTATCATCATGTCATATCAACATATCACATGGCCTGCTTGATCATGCTGAGGCTGGATTACCAACCCAACCAAACCTTGAGTGCCCCAAGGCCCAAATTACTTGTGCATGAGTAGTTTGTGGTTATTTAATTACTTTATTTTGTAATGTGCACTAAAACACAAAATTAACTGAAATTGTTTAGAGCATTTCAGTCAGGACAGACTTGAATGAGTGAACAACAATAATTCATGACATGTGATGCGTTGATTTGAGAATGTGAAAAGTAATTTGGCGATTAGATCCCATCGTGAAGATGTGGTATTTAATGGCGGTGAACCCACAGAGGCATAGAATGCAGACACTGGTGATGGTGATGATGGATGAAGAGAATGCTGAGGATCTGGATGTGATAAGGAAGACTTGAACTGGGCCTGGATCTGATGAGCAGGAGGTGAATGGGATGGAGGAGGGCCACAGCGGTACGTACTGGATAACAGCTGGCACAGAGGAGAGAACAAATTTAAAGTTTGATAGTGACTTCATGATTAACTGTGCTGATTGTGGTAAGATCTGATAAACCAAGGGAGAATTGCTTTATTTTGTAATGTGCACTAAAACACAAAATGAACTGAATTCAATGGACACAAGTAAGAGTTATTAACTCATACGGCATCAATGGGATAAATACCTAAGGGAAGCAATAAAAATTAACAAATGGGTGAAAGAATGAAGGAACGTAAACCTGTAGTATAGAGTTAAGGAGGGTGCAGAAGCCAGTGGAGGTCCCTGAGTAGTAGGGTGACATAAGTCCCTTTGAGCACATTTTTAAATAAATTAGCACTTTTGCAGAACTCTGAAGTGAAGAGTCCAATTCTGAGGCAGGGCTGAACTGGGGAAAAAAATCCTTTTTTTGGTCCAGGCGGCCCACAAAAATCAGACCCTCCAATACACCATCACTGCAATCCTCTTAAATATGCTATAATATTCCCCCAAACTAGGGCTGAACAATTAATTGTTTTCAATTGCGATTTGAAAGAACACGATTAGCTAATCATGAAGACAGTGATTAAAATGTAGGTAAATTATACAGCGCATTTGACCCCTTTTAAACATTCATGCAGTTACAAATTCATTACATTGTCATCCTTGTGTAACAGATGTGCTCGCCAATCACAAGCGCCTCCTGTCAGGGCCCGTGTCCACAAAAGTGTTTTTTCTGATGCTAGCGTCTTTAACAAATTCATTCCAATGGGAGCGCCGTGTTTTTACAAGCTGGTAAAAACACCAGGATCATGACGAGGAGCTGAGTGTCTTTTCCGCGCTGAGCGTTCTTTTCCGGTCGGTCCAGAGTTGAAAAATGTTCAACTTTGGGAAAAACGCTGCGCTCGTCACTGTCACTTTTTACCCAGCCGTCCAATCACAGTGCAGGAGGGGCGGGACAAACACCACACCGAGCACATCCGATCTTAAACGAAACAAGGTGTTTCCTCGCACGCAAAATCTCATGAATCCACGTACGGAGAGTCTGTCCACTCTTGTTTCAGCCTTCTCTTTATGCAGAGCAAGGGCCAGAGCAAGTAGGCCTACATACTTTGTGGTGACATTTTTACATTCACTAAAATTTACACATTACATTTACACACATTGTCTCCACGGAAATTATATATCATAGCAACCACAGCGTCTCGAAAAAAAACACTGTGCCTCCAAAACGCACCCTAGCGCTCCCAGCGCAGAAGAGCAGGTGGCGTTTTCAGCTGGCAAAAAACGCTTTGGTGGACATGGGGCCTATGGTCCTACTCACCAATCAGAGCGGGCACAGGGCGTGTACATTTTACAACAAACAAAACTAGAGGAAAACATGTTAATGGTGCCAGCCGAACTGACACAGGCAGCGGCAGCCCTACGTTGTTGCCTGTTTGATTTTGGTGACTTGTTCAGATTTAGCTTA